TAAACTATAGCAGTCAGTCATCATCGTCTTTAATATCTGTACAAATTCTCAACTATTGCACTGCATAGAAAATGCAAACAATTTTCAATTTTTTATTTACTTTAGTTATTCATTAGGAAAAGGTACCATTTTTTTTTTCATTCAAATGTCCTCAAAAAGGGGTGTCCATGTACAAGAAGTGTTAAATGGCAAGTACAAATCGCAAGAAAACTATATGTGTAATTGAAATGCCAGTATGTAACTTTTTGAAACTATTTATACTAAGAATAAAAAATGCCCTATAATCGAAAGGAATACATGTTTGATACATTTTGTAAACTTTTAGATACTATTATAAATTGTAATATTGTAATACATTGCAACACTGGCCAATAACAAATACAACTAATTACATAACTACATCAATACTTACTACATTAGATATTAAAACAACAATTATGCATTATATACCCAAGTTTATTAATAGAAATGAAATGTGTTTTAATTTTTTCTACAGATTTTTAACAGAAAGTATAGATTGCTAATCAATAAATCCCAAAATAATTTATAGAGAAACCAACTTCCAGTTTATGTAAGATATAAAACATATGCTGTGTAACAAGCATTCAGAACAAATTAAAAACATAAAAATTACTAAACATTAACAGCTGATGCTTTCACCTCTGTAACTATTATAAAGTTAGACATTTCAGAATATTAAAAATACACTGGTGTGCAAAAATTAAAGATGAAGTCGAAAAATTAGCATATCAGCTGAACGAAGAGGCAGAGCGGACAGAAAGACCAATCAGGAGATTAAGTAAGGTGATGTACGGTAGCACATGCGCAGATATGCAGGTACACATAATTGGCCAGTGCCTGAGTAGTATAAAGCGTTGTCGGGTAAGTCATATTTCTGGCAAAGAGATTGCACGCCGTATAGCAGTTAAAACCACACCGAGTTGCTGCCTCAGCGAGAAATGGCGAATAATCAATCTGTTAGATGACATCTGGATGCTTTTACCCGAGGTTGAATCATTGGGAAGTTGGAGGAAGGCCGCAGTGTGACAAGTGTGGCTACAGAGTTCGGAATTGCTCACAGCATCGTTTCGTGACTTTGGAGACAATTTCAAACTACAGGAACAGATATCCGGGGGTTTAGTAGTGGTCGTCCACGAGGAGCCACACCCGCAGATGACCGGTATATGGCCTTACAGGCCAGATGAAACAGGCGGCAGACAGCGGGAGAAATCGCTAGACACACGACACAGGCGACTGGACAACCGATATCGCGTTTTACCGTGGCCAAAAGACTGCACGGTGGTGGTCTGTTTGCACGACGCCCTATACGGTGTGTACCTCTAACGCCTGCCCATCGGAGAAGGCGTTCTCTGTGGTGCCGGGAAACACCGGAATTGGAGAGACAATGAATGGGGACGAGTACTCTTTACAGATGAGAGCAGATTCAGTCTGAGTAGCGATTCTCATCGCATACTCATCTGGACGAGAGCGGGGAAGCCGGCAATCATCCCTCGAACATCATTGAAAGGGACAGGTATGGAGGTGGGCGGTGTTCTCGTTTGGGAAGGCATCATGCTTGGTAGTTGTACAGACCTTCACATCTTCGACGCAGGTTCAGTCAACGGGACCCGTTATTGTAACGAGATTCTTCTTCCATATGCGCGTCTTTTTAGAGGCGCTATGGGTCCGCAGTTCCTTTCATGGACGACAATGCACCATGTCATTGCACAGTAGCTGCCAAACAATTCTTAGAGAGTGAGGATACCGAACGTATGGATTGGCTGGCACGATCTCCGGATCTCAATCCCATCGAGCATGTATGGGATTTTCTAGGCAGACGCTTGGCAGCTCGTACCTTACACCAGTAAGATTCCAGAGCTTCGATTGGAGCTGCAAGACGAATGGGCAGCAAGCCTCAACAACTCATTCACACCCTCATTCTCAGCATGGGCAGACGCTGTGAAACCTGCCTACAGTCAGGGGAGACCATATCCCCTTTAAGACCAGATTTTTTCTTGCTGGACACCTATCACAGGGATGTTCGGCCTTCAGTCGCATTGCGCTCCATGCTACTTTTTCAATAAAGCTTCTTTTATCCCTGATTTCTCTTTTAGTAAGTGTTGCTTACATTACTCATGTCCTTACGTATTGGGGATCTTACGGTATTAAATGTGTTGATTTGGAATCTTTTGTACAAAGTTATATTGAAAAAACCGTCTCGTCCTTAATTTTTGCACACTAGTGTATATTAATAGTTCTAAATTTTAACATTAAATGGAATTTTAATGAAACTTATAAAAAAATTCAAGAAATGACATTATATATCCAATACTGCATTTCTACTATTAGAGGACTACAGAAATAATATATATTTCAGCTGCATGTGGCACATTTTCATAATCTGTAGACTCTGACTCTAATAGTTAAACTTAGGTTTGAATCTAGGTGAATGGGTTGGCTACATAGCTGTTTATTTTTTTACCTCTGTTGTTTTCCTCATGTGTAACATTATTATGAGACAGTCCTTCACAAAGCCATCCTTATTTTTAAACAGATAGCCCTCAAGTGCTTTGCCATATCCATAATAACTTACCCATTAACTGTAGATATTTACTTCTTACAATAATCCCCAATTCTTGAAAAGGAAACCAGAGCAAGATTTAGACTTACTAAGGCCCTAATCTATTTGAGATATGAGGCTCTTTATAAGTCTGTTATAATATAATACTATTTATACTATATTTTAATTTTTGGGGCCCCCTAGAAAGTGGGGGCCCTAAACTATAGCTTGTGTAGCTTATTCATAAATCCAGTCCTGAAAGAAAACAGATTCATATTGTAGGCAGTAGCTTTAAGATACACTCAAAACCAAGATATCCAATAGATACAGAAAGTCAAAGGGACCAAGTCCTCAAAAAGGGTCACGAACAGGAATCTAAGAAAATCTGAATTTAAAGTAGCGCACCACCTTGAATAAAAGTCGCACTTCAACATTCATTGCTGGCATAGTTTGATTTCTTGGGAGACTAAGCTGGTTATTATCAAGTTTTACAATTCAATTATGCTGTCTCTGCAAAAAGGAATGAATCCCTTTTTTTCCAAAATTGTGCAATAGCTTTGCGATATAATTTAATTAACAGCAGTTTGTCTGAAATGAAGAAAATAATCTTGCCAAGTCTTGCACTACCCCATCTTCCCAAAAAAACTACTAAATTGTCTCCAGCATATATTACTATGGGGATAATGATGAAACTCATATGCGCAGTCATAAATGTCTTGCGCGCACGTGTAAAACGCCTATGAGCATGCATCAATGCGGCGCATGCGCAGAAAGATTTTAGCTTTGAAGTCCGGATTATAGATCATTTCGGATTATGGGTGTCCGAATTAACGACTTTTGACTGTATTCTTTAAAAAGGAAGGAAAACAAGAAGGGGATTGAAACAGAAAAGTAAAGAATCCAACCTCATACTAAACAAAAACATAAGAACCCTCACACTGTAGTTTTGCAAGTTCACAAGTTCTTAATTTTGAAAATTATTTCGAATTTTTGTTACACCCTTTACACTCAGATTAATCTAGATTTTGCAGATTTTCATGTAACCAGAATAATTATTGCACATCTAATGCAAATTAAGATATTTTGAAATAACACACATCCATTTTTAAGCTAATAAATTCTTAGCAAATTATTTTAAAGCACTCTGGAAAAGAGTTCACAAAATGCAATTTATTTACTTTAACCTCCATACAATTACATATGGTTTAGCACAACATTAAAATTTGGTATATGATACTAAGCACTCATTTCCTGTAAACATATGTGAATAAGCTTTTCTAATAGCACTGTTCTTTTTCAACTACCTAATGTATCAGAGTTGTTAATTTTTAATACTTCTTTTAGCACTCCATTTAATGTCACCTCCTCTTCCCTTCTAGTAAAAGAAAGAGGTGTAATTAGTTTTGCAGACTTATTGCAAAATATTTCATAGGATAATTTTTGATATCCATTTTTAATTATGCCTCATACATTATTGTATGCATAAGGGTTTGTAATAGATTGAATGCATGCAGATCCAATGATAGGTTGATAAAATTTATGTTATCGAAAGAAACACTTCAGAGTTCTGGAACTTTCCACAAAAGTAGTTATACAACTCTTCACAGTATCACAGACTACAATCAGTAAATACACTTTAAATTAATAAGAATGTTAAACACAAGTAATGCAAAATATATCTAAAGAGCGAACCTAACCCAAAGATATCTCAGTACTCTGAACTAACAACTCACAGCAACAGCCCAGAGCAGATGCTCTCTCCAACCTTATATTGTTTTCACCTTGCTATCAAGAAATGTTTAGTACTTCTCAAAATTACTGAAAGGCATAAGAGGGTCAGGTACGGTTACAGTTGCACAAAGCATCAATTACAGTTATTTTATTACAATTTTATAGGGAGCAGATTAACGTTAAATAGACTTGCCCGTCTTCTATTTTTCTAGAAGAACACTGTCTCTCAAGATTTTCATGTTACATTATGCAAAAAAATATAATCTCACATATAATTTCACCAAAATCATCTATCTATGTACAAAACTTCTAACTGTATGGAAATGTATTAAATATACAATCTCTTCATTTTTAACAGGTGACATATACTGCATTGGAGATGTAGTACGAGGTTTTTAACCACGATATAATACAGAAGTCTGTCCAGTACACATAATGATAACCATATAATTATAAACACACACAAATTTTTCATACTTTTGTTACCACCTTAAAAGTAAATAATAATGAGAGACAAAGTCAAACTTAGGAAGAAAAATTAAAATGCATGAAACGTACATTTTTCTTAAAATGGATATGTAAGAAATGACTGCATTCGGTAGATGAATTTGATGCTGACAGAGATTTAATGTTATTTCTAAATGAAAATTTTTGAACATGTAAAATGCACATAAAAAATTTGAACATTCCAAACAACTGAGAATTTTACTTACCCTGTTAACATTATGCACAACAAAATTCCTAAACTCCATATATCACAAGCTTCATCATATCCTTGCTTCTTTAAAACTTCAGGAGCAGCAAAATTTGCAGTGTAACAAGGTGTCATAAGCATACCATTTTCAGCTTTCATTTGTTTTGCAAAACCGAAATCACAGATGCGTAATGATTCTGGGCTGCAAGAAGTGTCAGCATACATTATGTTTGATGGTTTTAAATCACGATGCACAACCTAGGAAACAAATAAACAAATCTGGTAATAAATATGATAGTTTTTACTTTTGATACATTCTATGAATTCATATCTATTCATTGAGTCTCTGAAAGATTTAGCTGAAAATGCAGGGATGATTGTGACCCCATTTAAAAAATCCTGAAAACTACCTTGAAGTAAAAATGTGATATCATTTCAAATAATAAAGACTAGCAATATTATACATACATACCCAAATTTGCAGACAATTTTCATTAGTAAAGAAAATAGTATTATGCTTTTTAAATAGACTCATTACATCCTTCCAAAAGTTACTTACCTCCTGGATTTCTTAACATTTCTTAAAAAATTTAGCTAGCTTTTTGGAGAATGAAGTTAAGTTCCAGAAAGTGCTGCATTTATAATTTTCTTTGTAAACAATTGAAAGTTCATTATGATCAGCAAGTCATTTTTATACAGATAATGACTTTCATTTAACCCTTCAAAGGCTGGAGATTAAAATTACTAGTATGAAAAAATGGTTCATGCAATATAAAAAATTTAGGCAAGTTGCTCAGCTATCCAGTAAATTATCTCAATATTCTTGACCAATAGGACTCTGACAAGGATTATATGATCCTAAAATTTCACATGTATTTTTGTTTTGTAAAAATAATATTTCAGTCTTAACAGCTATCCTGTCAACATTCAAGGATGTTGTTTTAAATGCCTGTTAATGTAATCAAAGTAATGAAAATAGTCGTTCATACCATCGAATTTTACGAAGACAATTCTTTAATCCTAAGTGGCACAATTTTTTGGATCTGCTGATGAAGATTCTTATTTAAACAACTTCTACTTAGCTATGTTTTTATTATTACCATAATTTCAAATAGATAATCCACTGTAGTGTATATGCTTCACACAAAATTAACTAAAAAAAATTTAAAGTTCATTGAATAAGCCATACCACTGTATATGCTACAGCAAAGTAATCTGAAAGATGGAACTTAATATTTTTTATTCAATAATTCCCTTCCATATTGATGTAATCATCATGGATAATATTTTATAACATCTACAATACAATATAACAGTACTACATACATAAATAAAAATAAACATCTTATCTTGAACTTAACAAAAACGAACTCTGGCGATTTCTAATAGATATTATTTTTAGGGGTTTGGTAAACTGTTTATCATCATAAATTATCATATTATGAAAAAAATAGATAAATTAGATAATTAAATAGAATTTTATAATTATAAGGAACTTAAATGACCATCAAGATGACTTTCATCCCCTTGTTCTAAATCACTTCTTCCAGTGTAGCTATATTCACTTTCATGCTCTTTTTTCGATGATTTCAGGTTGAATGAAAGCTGATATAATTGCAGCAGCTCGGACTGATTGCCATGCTTTATCGAGCTACAAGGCAACCAGCTCATATGAAGCTATTTTCATCTCTTCTGCAATTTGTGACGGAAAGGAGTCCGCTTTGCACGCATTTCTCCTACTGCTTTCAAAGTTGCTGCTTAAAAATTCTATTGATAGTGAACTCCAGAGGCTTAAAATTTTTGTATGCTCACCTGCTATCAATGTACACTTTTTTTTTTTTTTTTTTTTCTTTTGCTTAGGATTTCACCATATTCACTAAAATGGAAAAATCCAGAAAAATGAGTCCCCGAGATTGGATAAAAGCACCTTTCGTTTTTTTTGGTAAGTTTCTCTCAGTCAAAACAATATTTTCTTCACACATCCATCCCTTTTTGTTAGTGCAAATAATGCCTTTAGAGAAGTTTCCTTTCAGTACTGCTTTTCTTTTGAAAATTATCAAAGGGGTTAATGTCTCTCCATTGGTGTCACAACTGTCTCCATTGGTGACCAAAACATAAGTTAAAGAAGGAGTCTTTTCATTCCCAGTTGTTAACAGAGAAATAAGTTTTTTCATCTGTTGAATGAACAGAATGAAGAGTTAGTCAAACTTAGAAGTCAAAAGTACTGGGCACTTTATCTGTATTAATTATTTGCCCTCTATTCAAATTTTGTTGAAATTTTCTTAGATGTGTACTGCAAAAAAAATTCTTTTTTTTTTAACCAGTCCATGGGAAGCTTATGTCTAACTGTTGTTTTGGTCTTGATGGATAATTTCTTTCATTTCATGAACCTGAAATAACAATTAGGCCAACAAAGTTTTTAACGCTCATTTGTTAAGCAAATTATTTTTTCTTGAAGACAACTTTCTAACTATTGACACAGACAGTCCCTTTTCTCTTTGCTTTACAACAAAATCTTAAAAGCAGCTGTCTAACATTTTCTTCAAGTATGAATCATAAATAATAATAATTTGAAACATTCAACAAGCATGAATGACAAAGTAAGCAATGCAACAAGTAAGCAATAAGCAAGCCACAAACAGCGAGGCACATGTAAGAATAAACACAGAACTGAGTAAATAAAAGTTCCTGTATCCATTGAGAAGATGGCCATTGGAAAACAGACAAAACCACGGAGTTCAGTAGAAAATATAAGCAATGCGCTGTCTTTACACCAAGTGCACCCTACCCTATCAGGCTAAAATGTCACAATGAATTCTACATTAACCAGTTCACTTGTACATAACTTATAGTCTAAATTAGAAAAGTTCTAAAGACAAAGGGAATATAAAATTCCCTTCGGATAAGCCCCAAATCTAAATTTTCAACATTTAAACACATATAAGCTGAAGCTTATCTACCTGAAACTACAGTACTTATTTTAGCCTCTTTTCATATACTTTCATTAAGATGGATATTGTCCATTAACACCTACCTATAAGAACATATGTTCATTACAATACAAAAGTACACATACAGCCATTTTGATGGTGTATGCATTTTTAATCTTTTTTACCTATTTTAAATATCACAAGGTAAACTAAACAACATTTAAATTAATAAATAAACATTATTAAATATGACTGACAATAAATATATTACAATTTTCAAACTTTTAGAAAAGCAGAAAACTTGTTGTTACCAAAAACTGACATATTATACTGACAGTTGTCAATATGAGAACATAAAAATCTTTACCAGTCCAATTGGCCGATGTGCACTTACATGTGTTAAGAAGTCTATTTTATAAACCCACATTTAAATGATATTTACATTATTAAAGAGAGTATGAAAGAAAAATATTTTAAAATGCAATGCAAATATACAAATCTAAAAAAATCTCATGATTGGATAAAGACTGTCATGCCACTCAGGAGGTTAAAGATAACTTTTTTTCTTATAACCTGCCCATTCTCTATGTGCCTCTTTAAAAATACACCTAAACTGCTTTTTTAACCACTTTTGTGACGACTAAACTTCACTGTTGCGGTGCTGTGCGCTACAATATAACAAGCGGTAAAGTGTCTCATTTACGCCGCTCCACGTCTGCGAGTGCAATTCAGAGCTGTAACTCGAGAAATAAACAATCTCATTGTTAGGCGACGTGTGCACCATGTTATTTTCATTTTTGCACGCGGTTTGAGACAAAAGCATCTTGACGTGCGTGGCACATCTTTTTAGCGCAAGTGGTTAATGCATTAACTTTTCCAGAATTCCTAACAACTTTCTGCACCAATAAATATTAATCTCAGACATCTATCTTCAAGATTATTGTCCGTGAAGATTACTTGTCCAAGTGATCATGTGGTACAATTTCACACATGATGACTTCCATGTCTACATGCAGTTTTTCAAATTTAGTGTTTCTGGATCTGAGAAGTAAAACCCCAAAATTCCAGCTATATACTGACCACAATCAGCCCTGAAAATGGTTTTCTCATTTTAATTTTAACTTCATCTCTCAAAAACATGACATAGAAAAATTATTGCGATTTTCCTCAATAGATTTCATCAGTACTTTTTAATTTTAATAAATTAAATAATTGGATTATTTGATTTTGGCAAACCACACAATAGCAATCTACACAAGAGATGAAGAGCTTTGGAATCTACAGAGAACTTCTTAAGGGAAAATGGCTCATATTCAAATTACACATCATAAAAACCACAAAAACATTCATACAGCTAGTGCAAATTGGCAGGATTTGAACCAAGGTTGAACTACCAGTTACTAATGATCTGTTTGGGCAAAAAGTCTAAATAAATTGGCATTCACTAGAAAATGATAAAATTAGCTTATGAATTGCAGGATTAGGTCAGTTCACCCAATTTCTTTTTCATATTAAATCAAATGGAAGAAATTTTCTATAAATAAAATGTACATAAAAATATGTTTATGCTGAAAATTAACTTGCCATTATTAATTCATTGAAACCAACAGCACAATTTTAAAACAAAAAAATATGATGCTGGAATGAAATATACGCAAATTTACTGTACAAAATGAATTCTATACTCCAAATTATATAACTTAATGAAATTTGAAGATCATTTTTCTGATTAGTGTTCGTTTTTGTATTGAAGACCTTTATTCCTCCCCAAGGAATCATGATGGGACTGTGGTCTCAAATATCTAAAAGATGGAATACCATATTCTTCTTTCAGTTAGGTATAGAATTACGTACTGATATATAGCTACATTAAAAACGGTTGAAACAGCTAATAGGATGAAAAAAAGTCACATACACAACACAATTACTGAGATTTTCAATAATTCCACCAACCAGCTATTAATTGTAGTATTTAGAATTTCAGTTAAACATTTTTCTTATGGGAGGAGTATTTATTTAAAAAGAAATCATTTGAAGGCTTTAAATCAATCTCTTCAAGAAGCAAAATGCATACTATGTTTAATGCAATGTTAAATTTATGAAAAACTAATTATATTACCGTAATTTCCGAAAGAAACGCCGCAGCATTTACGTGTTTAAAGCTCAAATTTTCTGCGGGTGGGGCGTTTCTACCCATGCAGTGTTTAGGTGCACTAAAAATAAAATATTTCCTGTAATGGTCATTGTACATAGTTTGGATGGCCTTCTCATTGTACATAGAATGGTGCTGTTCCCACACAAACGACCACTCAGTTGCTTTTAGCAAAC